CTACCATGTAAACAGAATAATCTATATCATAAAACACACACATATCACCGCCTCTAGTAATGATGTCCATAGAAACATGTATATGCACAAAAGCTGAGTATCAGCTACCATGTATTCAATTGTGAAAGCAGAATAACCTATATCATATTTTTCTTACTTCCAAGGAAATTAAATTTCGACATTAAATAACACATAAGGAGTTGTTATGCCGTTAAACAAATCAAGTAAAAAAAACAACCTTTGGACTTTAATGTAGTGTCCATACTTGTGATTTGGTGCCTCAATAATCTAATATTTACTAATATTAAATTAGACTGGATCAGTATTATCGGGGTAAGCCCGAAAAACACTCAGTTATTAATGACGCCTCGGAGTGGAATAATGGTTAAAACAAAACATTAACATGAAAACTCGATGTTAAATAACATCGCCAGATTGAGACTTTCATATGGATGTCATGCATGGGCAAAACTCGTTCAGAAATATCTAAACTGTCAGTTGTATACAATCGCTTTCTCAGATCAATGGATAAAAATGACTTCAAGCGAATGAATCTTAGCGAAGACTAACGTTGTGGACTGGCGCTACACAATCACAAAGAACAGTATCAAATAACAGATACCACATCATTTGAGGACTTGTAAGAGCAACAACTAAAATGGATATCACATGCGACTCTAAAAATGTACAATATTTTCTCCTTATCTGTGGTTTCTTTCTCTCTGACCCAGCTTTAGGAATAAACAGTTTATAAGTTTTTACTTAACAATAACCCGAAAATGGAAATGTAGTAATTTCATTTAAGTTAGCTTTACTTGCATTACTGCGAATCCTTAATCTGCAGGAATCGAGTTTAAGAAGATTTTTGAATATACTTGTTTATAATTTGGAAAATTGCTTTTTCCACTTTCATTAAATGGGAAACTATTCCTGATGGAAGACGAAGAGGAAAAGAAATGGGAAGTTTTATAATTTTTTATTTAATAAATACCCGGAAGTGAAAATGTAGTAATTTCATTTAAGTTAGCTTTACTTGCACTACCACGAATCCCTAATCAGCAGGAACCTAGTTTAAAAGGATTTTCGAATATACTTGTTTATAATTTGGAAAATTGCCTCTTCCACGAGTGTGGAACTATTCCTGATGGAAGAGGAAGAGAAAAAGAAATGGAAAATTTTATATTTTTAATAAAATAATGATACCTATAAATAATGATATGTTTATGATATAAAAAATATGTGTGTTAGTAAGATGTAGAATATTATCCAGACATAAGTGAAGATAATGACACGAAAAGATTTATATAAAAATTAATCTCGTATTTTGCTGCTTATAAGACGCATTTTGTTCCTATAAATATCTCCAAGACCCACCCTGCGTCCTATAAATTGATGGGAGATAACTTCTCTTCTAATTATTACATTCTAAATAGTTATCATAAAATTGTTACTTCTTCATGGGTTGTGATGAATTCGTCATGATTAGTTAAATTTTCCTGCTAAAGTATTTTATTCAGTGGGTACAATTGGGGATAGTCGGGTGGGCTATGAAATATGAGGAAAAACTTTTTTCCGATTTCTTTCTTCAAAATTTGAACGGGGCGTCTAATGCATTGGAGTGTTTTATAAACAGCAAAATAGGGTAATAGAATTTCTTTTTACAAAATAAAGGTATTATTAATTTAGAGGTGTCATTATTTTATTTCATTTCTTTTCTAAATGTTTATATGATTTTATTTTCAGCCTTTGTAGCAAAAACAGAGACATACAAAAACCGATCAGTATTATCGGGGTAAGCCTGAAAACAGCAATCTATGAACATGAATTAAGAGCTGATCATCTTTTTCTTCTTTTGTTGACTCTCGTACAAAACAAACCTCTGTCGACCTGCTTCACTCTCCTGTAAAGAAAACCTATGTTCTCTTTTTGACTCTTGTGCAAACCAAGCCTATTTCAACCTTTCTGAGTTTCATCCAAACCAAACATGTCTACCTTTTTGACATTCATCCAAACCAATCCTATGTTTATCTTTTTGGCTCTTGTGCAAAGCAAACGCATTTCAACCTTTTTTGAGTCTTATCCAAGCCAAATCTCATACCCCCCCCCAAAAAAAAACACAGGCAAAAAAAGAAAAAAAAAAAAGAAAAGCAAACCCGTCCAAAAAATAAACATGTCTGCTTTTTGACTTTCATGCAAACCAAACCTGTCTGCTTTTTGGACTCTTGTACACACGAAACCTATGTCTACCTTTTTAAGTCACGTGCGTATCAAACCCATGGCTACGTTTTTAACTAACGTGCAAACCAGACCTGTCTCTAACTTATTGACTCTCGTAGAAACAAAACCTATAACTACCTTTTAGACTCTCATACAAACTAATTCTTTGTCTACCATTTTGAATCTCATGCCAGTAAAACCTACGTCTAAATTTCCATTGTTTATCAAACGACAAAATAAGGCAATAAAAAACCTGTAAAATAATTGATATGTCGTAAAACACAACAATCCAATTCAATCCAAATAATTTATGCTTGAAAGCTATTACGAGCTATTCAATGAGTATATATTCTTTTTATAAAATTGGTACACTTAACTGTCCTAATGTATTCGATGATAATTTAACGTCTCCTTGTTTTCTTTCGATTAGATATTTCGTTTTACGCTCAGCGACAAGCAATCAATCGTTATTAAACAATTTTAAATTGCTTCCCAAGGCCCAAAATAACAACATGGGTTTCAGTTTATTATTTAATAATAATCATCACGATTGGCTTCATATATTAATATATTTTTTCTTTTCAAAATCTATTTTGCTTTTTAAATGGAAATCGCTTTCTACCTTTGGGGAATCCGTTTTAATTTTGAGAGTTTTCAATTTTTCCAGTTATATGAAATGATAATTATTGAAATTCTAGCCGTTTCAATTGTAATAATTATTGTCGTTCGAGTGGTGATATGTTGGCTGAATTATCACTGAATGCGGTCTTTAGGCTCTCGGGGCTTTTAGCATTATTAGTGGACAGGAAAAAAGACTTTGATTGCGGTCGTGGATTTATAAAAATAATTCAGCGAGGGGTGGGGATAAGCATAAAGTGGCGCCGGATGAACGGGAAGAAGGTTGACGGAAATAAATGTGTCGGGTCCACCTGTTAGAAGAGGGTGCTGAAAACTACAGGCCCAATATACTTCGCAAAATCTGACCAAATATTAGGTTGGTGCAAAAATAATGACGTAAGAATGTCGTTTTTGACGTTAAAAATACGTCAAAAAACGACATTATTACGTCATTATTTTTGCACCAACCTAATAACTAAACGTCAGAATTTATTTTAAAATCCTTTCTTGGTCAGCCCGAGAAATTTACAGCAGCTCAGTGTTAAATATTTTTTTTTTGGCTTTGAATAAAATCACAATAAATTTGTTTACTTGAGCCTAAATATCAAATACAAATGTACTACATGTGCTTTTTCTTGCTTTCTACTTTTGTGGGGATGCTGGTGAATTTTTAATGAAAATAAGCACAAGGAAACTCATACTTAAATCAGAAAAATCAGTTGAAATTTCTGCGACAAAAAGGGAGGAAAGGGTTCCAAGAGAACTGAACCCTCACAGGACATATTTGTAGACAAGAGAAAGGTAAGTAGAGAGTGACCTACTAAGGAATCAGCAATATTATTGGCCCGGACTTGGCGTCTCGGCACTTTCTCACTGCCGTAACGCGGCTTCCCTGTTCTTTTTCTATAAATACTTTCATGGTAACTATTCGAATGAACTCTTCATGGTATGAATTTAAGTGCAGTACTAGATTGGCGGTAAGGTCTCATCATTTTACAAGTTGAAATAGCTAGATGTAACCGTAAGTTCTATGCTAACAGTTTCTTTTCTTGTACTTCTCGCTTGTGGAAGTCTTTTGGCTACAAACTTTCGAGCCAGCTTTGATTTTCAAGAATTTCAATACAATGTCAATCGTTATCTACGGTCTTCTGATTAATCTTCTATTGTTCTCGCTCCTTAATAATATTTCTATTTTTTATGATTCTGTAAGCCCTTGTGTCTTAGTGGCTTTATTGCCCTTCTTGGGATGATATGATTAAAATAAAATAAATAAAAGATGAGGTTGTGTGAATAGATAACAAGGATAAAGAGAGTTAGTAAAGGGTAAAAAAAAAATACAGAGACCAAGAAAAGAGAAGGAGTGTGGTGAGCCCTTTACTGCTTAGTTCCTGAATGATATTGACGCATAAAAGAAGAAAATCCAACTTTTTTTTTACTTTAGTATTGCGAAAGAACAGTACTAAGTCTCCTTTTCCCATCCTATCTACAGTTTAGTAGTTTGAGTTTTCTTTCATAGCATATGTAATCTCTAGAAGGTAAAGATGTGTAAGAAACACCGAACGTCTATAAAAAGATCCCGTGGATCTGTTTCTAGTTGTTTCTATATATGTACATATCTGTAGACATTAGTCTTTAATTACACATTTATCCTTAATGTGTACGAAGGACTATGAATTGCCGGAAAGGGATTTCGTTTCTATATAAACCAAGGACTTCTATCCTGGAGAAAGCAAAAAAACAAAAACAAAAACAAAAAATGTATGGTTAGATAGAAATTTGAAAGCACTCAAATACTTTCATTTACATCGTCTGCTCAGACTCAGCAATTCAAAATAAACAAGCCTGGAGAAAAAATGTCAGCTTTTATTTTTCAAGAGACACTTTACCGTTAACTCAAAAATGCTTTTTTCATTGATTTTGTTTGTTTTTTTTAGTTCTTTATGTATTTTGACTTTTTTTTACGTTGAACTTTTCTTTCTCCCATTTATTTTCAATTCTTCTTTGTTTTTTTCTTTCTTTCGTTCTTTTGGACTTAGTCTTTCTTATTCTCTTTTCTCCATTTTACTGCTCTCTTTGTTTGCTTGCTTTTTTACATCTTTCTTTCTTTCTTTCTTTATTTTCTTGCTTTCTTTCATTCTTTTTTTCTCGCTTTCATTCTTCTGTAGTTACTTGTTCTTACTCCCTTTTGTTCGCATAATTGCATTATTCTTTTTCTTTTTGACTTATTTTCTTTCTTTCCTTCCTTCTCAATGACATACCATTTCTTTCTTTCTTTCTTTCTTTCTTTCTTTCTTTCTTTCTTTCTTTCTTTCTTTCTTTCTTTCTTTCTTTCTTTCTTTCTTTCTTTCTTTTGCATTTAGCCTTTCTTACTCCTTTCTGTTCGTTTTATTGCTCTCTTTATTTCTGTATGTCTCACCAAGTCATACCACTTTCTTTCTTTCTTTCTTTCTTTTCACCCTACTCTCCCCACATGCCAATCCATTTCTTTCTGTTCTATTTACCATTTCCAACTCTGTTAAATCGATGCCCCCACCACATATTTCATGACATGTCTTCTTCAAGTTCCTCCTATGTACTTCTATTGTTGTACTTGTTTAAGCGCCTTTCCACCAAATAAAGAAACAAAAAGTTGAAGGAACCCGGATTGTGGTTAACATTCACTTGAGCTTTGCACGCAGAACAATTCTTTTGTGAAGAACACACAAAGAACACGGGCAAATATGAGGAGAAAATGCGGGGGAACTGATTTCAGCAGATTTGAGTTCAGCGGCAAGAAGGAGACGAAGAGAGCCAGATTTGGATGGGATACCAATTTGTAACAAGGCTTACGGCCACATCACCGAAATTAATCAATGTCGAGCCTGGTCAGTACCTAGATGGGTGACCGCTTGGGAATACCAGGTGCTGTAAGTTTCGATGTGCGGGCTCTATGGCATACAGCAACGTCACGTTGAAACACTGGTTTTCGTACGATCACCGAAGTTAAGCAAAACCCTGGCAACATTGAACCAGGTTGATGTACCTAGATGGGTAACCACCTTAAGAACATTGAACCAGGTCAGTACCCAGATTGGTGACCGCTTGAATAACAGGTTGTGTTTGGATGGGTGCTATGGCATACAGCGACGTCACGTTGAAACACTGGTTTTCGTACGATCACCGAAGTTAAGCAACGTTGAGCCTGGTCAGTACCTAGATTGGTGACCGCTTGGGAATAGCAGGTGCTGTGTTTGGATGTGCGGGTGCTATGGCATACAGCGACGTCACGTTGAAACACTGGTTCTCGTACGATCACCGAAGTTTTAGCAGGCGCTATGGCATACAGCAACAATGAACCAGGTCAGTACCTAGATGGGTAACCGCTTGGAAATACCAGGTGCTGTAAGTTTTGATGTGCGGGTGCTATGGCATACAGCAACGTCACGTTGAAACACTGGTTTTCGTACGATCACCGAAGTTAAGCAACATTGAACCAGGTCAGTATCTAGATGGGTAACCGCTTGGAAATACCAGGTGCTGTAAGTTTTGATGTGCGGGTGCTATGGCATACAGCGACGTCACGTTGAAACACTTGTTGTTGATCACCGAAGTTAAGCAACGTCGAGCTTAGTCAGTACCTAGATGGGTGACCGCTTGGGTAATGCTAGGTGCTGTAAGCGTAGATGGTGTAATGGATAATGGTTTAGAATTGTTAATCGGAGAGCTGAGTTCCAATTACCGCTATATTAATTTACGCGACAATACCCTTGGTAAAGGTATGAATCTACCTACTCCCTCATCTATGGGTTAATAAGTAAGACATGTCTCACTAAAGCATTATTATCTCCCTTCCATACCCAAATAAAAATCTTACAATCTAAAAATGTTTTCTTGCTTTAAATAACTTGCAAAGAGTTAATAAGCCGTACAAAACGAATCAATATTTTCAGCAAGTAGATTTTTACAAAGTTCAGCGATAGTGAATATCTATATCCAGCACGGCACAGAGGGAGGTGGTAAATCAGATGCTAAAGTTGTGGTGGCAACTAAATCCGAGGCTAAAAGGGAGGGGCTAAATCAGGTGATAAATGTGGTGGGGGCGGAGGCTAAATCAGGAATTAAAATTTTGTGTAGGGGGGGATGCGAAATAGGTGTTAAAATTGTTTGTTTGTCTTTGTGTGGGCGAAATCAGATATTAAATTTGCGTGCCTGCTTTTGTTACGGAAAATGATGTTAAAATTGGGTGGGTGCGAAATCCGATGTTATTTTTCTAAAGATTCTTAATTCTCTGTTTTTTTTTTCTTTTTTTTTTTTAATTTCATCCTTTCATAATTTTTTTTTTAGATCTATTATGCAAATGCAAACATTTTTTGTTTTGATTTTAAGTGCTCATCTTTTTTTTTTCGCTTGTACTTATATCCAAGAATTAAACCTATAGATTTAATGTCTCGACCTCCCCACTTCACACTCACACACACCAAAGACGAGAAAAAGAAAAAAAAAAAAAAGAAAAGTAAAATGAAATTATTTTGAAATGAAATGATTTATTTTTAAAAATTATAAACGTATATAAGCCAGCTTCATGTATAGTGAGACCCCTGACTTTTGTTTGCATAAATTTTAACCCCCTCCTCAGAAGTGCAACCGGTAACAGAAAATGCATGATTTTTAACCATTTCAAAGGGGCATCGATATAAGATACTTGGAAATGGTAAAGAAAGAAAGAAAGAAAGAAAGAAAGAAAGAAAGAAAGAAAGAAAATTCTATGTTATTAGGTCTGAGTGGAGAAAAACGAACGCAGGAAAGAAAAAAAGAAAGAAAGAAAAAAGAATGAAAGAAAAATGCTATATCATGAGGTGTGAGGAAGGAATAAACGAACGAAATGAATAAAGAAAGAAATAAAGAAAGAAGAAAGAAAGAAATAGTATGTCATGCAGTGAGAGTGGGGAGGAAAGAACGATCTAAAGAAAGAAAGAAAGAAAGAAAGAATAAAGACAGAAATGGTATGACGTGGTGAGAGTGGAGAGGACAAAGAAAGAAAGAAATTGCATGATTTTTAACGATTTCAAAAATTTACCTGTGTAAAGTGTGACCCCTTATTTTTGCGTAAAAAACAACTGATCATAAAAAAATCGCACTATACTCGGATACGGTAGCAGAAATGGTTTTAGACAAATCATATGTCTTAGCTCAAGATCATTGCCATAAATCGAGGCCTAGAAAAAACATATAATTTTCTGTTTTGTTCCTGGAAGAAGTCTGTTGGGCCGGCAGACATTAATAGTATGGTGCGTAACAGAGGTGTTTCCATATTTTAAGATTTTGAGAGCCCAGACATCAAGTGGAACTCGTACAAACGATTCATCGCTAAAGATGCTGGAAAAAAATGGTCGATTCTCTGTTATCATAAATACCCGATTCCTCACGCTGTCCTCTGAAGAACACGCTGAAAATGGAGTATTGCTGCCATATATAGGCAGGATATGTCCAGTTTTCACATTCTAGTCTCGACAGAGTCCAGAAACGTATCTCTGTCCTTGTGGCTGACAAATCATTTTCCATCCTACAACCACTTTCCCATAGACGAAACGTCACAAGCCTCTCACTACTCTACATTCCTTAGTTCCACTAGTTTTTACATTGACAGTTAAGACTCGCCATGCCACTCACACTGTAGCGAACCACTCTCACTCCCTTCGTAATTCCATTGGTGAGATGTAAGTTCCACTCGAACAGCTTCTTCCCACGAACCACTGTTTTATGGAACTGAGGATGATGTTCAAGTCTAGGGTTAACTGTTATGTTCCTCACATATTCACATAAACTATACTTATTACTCTGTAACTCGAGTGGCTCTCGGGCCTTGTACAGAGTGAATATCATTGTAAAAAAATATATAAAAAATAGAGTGAAAATTCGAAAGGTTATATTGAATTAATTTCTAGGTCCCCAGCAAGGAAACTTGGTTCACCGTTTTATTCTAGACAATTTTTCTCGACAGAATCTATTTTACACATTTATAAATCTACTATTCATCCAGGCATTGACTATCACTGCCTCATATAGTCTTGGCTTTTGCTATATATTTAGAGATTTTTGATAAAAAAAACAAAGAAGGATCTGCAATGTTATTGGTCCCGACATGGCATCTTGGCTTCAGTCACTTTCCAACCGTCGTAACGTAGCTTTCCTGTGCCTTTTCTATAAATATTTTCATGGCAATGAAATTTTTTAGTGATGAACTACGTTACCTACATATTGTGAATTTATGTGCAGTGCTAGATTGGAAGATGAGCAAGAAAAAGTTTGCCAATTTTACCCCCCCCCAGAACAAAACAAAATTGCTATTTTTTAATCCCCAAAGAGAATCTTACATGACTGATGCTAACCTCCCGGAGAGCAAATCATCGTGTCTTCTTGGTTTCCCATTTTCTACTGACATGTAGTAGAACGATTATATTGATTTAGGTCTACTGCTAGGAAATTTCTTTCGCTGTGTTGTGCCAGACAATCTTTCTTGTCAGAATCCATTTTACACATTTTTGGATTTACCGTTTGTCCATGCATTGAATATTGCTGCCATATCTGGTCTGGTACTCTTGCTATATAACTCGAAAGCCTTGAGTGGCTCTGGGTTGGGTGAACGTTAGTAAAAAAAAAAAAAAAAAACAAGACAAAAGAAAAAAAAAAACAAGCAAAAACAACTTTTTAAGACATCCTTTGCTTTCGTGGGTATATAAACAAGAAGAAATACTGGTATGTCGTTCCTGTTTATTCTCCTGCGATATTCATGTGAGGATCTAATGATGCCTAAAGTAGCCAATTGGACGATGGCAAATATAAAAGTCTGTAAATTTTGAATCCGTTCTATCGTTACGTCTAGCTTCAGGCAGGTATCTCTCTTTATGAAGAGAAAATCAGTAAAGTATCACTTGAACTGACCCTTATCGGCCATTAGGGGCCAAGGAGAGACACGTCAGAGACGAGAATGGCCGGATCGGAAAATAACGCTTGAGGCTGTTGTGATGATCTTCACATCAAAGATGGACGGGCGTGCGATTGATGATTTGGGCCACTTCCAAATGAGATATTCTAAGCTGGAAGCAGTTTGTTGATAGAAAGTCCTGACTCGACGCACTTAGTTTAATGAACAGATCAGCAAAGATGACACCATTTTGTTAGCTTCGTTCCTAAGCGCCAATTTCTAAGGGACGTCAGTCAACATTGAGTAATTTATATCAGCTGTCATCTTTGCTTTTTAGCATTCTTTTTTCTTTCCTTTTATTTATTTATTTTTTTAACTTAGAGCAGAGAAACAAGTGAGTTCGTCAAAAGTTCGTGGGTGATGTTAACAAACTGGCATTGAAACGCGCGTAAAAAGAAGATTGATAGGATATTTGTGAAGTTTGACTATGAAAATATCTTCATTTTGCAGCGGCTACCTCGGTTTGTAAGCTGGTTTGTCGACAGTGGCTGTTCTCCCATTCTTTTCTTTGTCAATAATCGTGACATGCCAATAAAGAGACCTTTTTTCAAGAGATTTCGTGATAGAATATCGTCCCCAGTCCCCGTTCTGAGATCCTTAACATTCATCATTAGGTAGGCTAGTCGATGTTTCACTCTGCTCCTGTGGTCTTCGGTATGTTTTTTTTAAAATCATTTCACCTCAAACAAGGTAACAGAGCCACTAAGACTCAAGAGGGTCACTGGGTGTGAGAGGATATGAAGAAAAACATTATTAAGGAGAAATAACGATAAAAGAACAGGAATTAAAGATCAAAGTTGACTGGAAAAGAGTTCTAGAAGGGAGCTCCACAAGCGAGAAGTGCGAGAGGAGAAACTGTTAGCACAGAACTTGCGGTTGCATCTAGCCATTTCAACAGTAAAATGATGAAACCTTCCTACCAATCTTGTCAGTCAGTTGTGTGCCATGCGTGATACACGCTTAAGCGATCATGTATCTTTCGATACATGACTGACGAGGCAGATTTTTTCGCAATAGGTTGCCATTTCTTTCTACGGTTGGTCAGTTGACATCCACGTTGTCTTTCCTGCAATTTACCCATAGCTTGTGGGGGGGGGGGAGAAGTAAAGAATTCATACCTTTCCCAAAGGTATCAATCTTGTACTGGACTTAAATTCATAAAGTCTAGATGCCAAAGAGGAAAGTTCATCAGAATAACTACGATGAAAATATTTATAGAAAAGGAAACAGGGAAGCTACGCTATGGCGTTGAGAAAGTGGCTAA